TTACTACTTGCGGACCGACTCAACTGTCACTCTATGTTGGATCCGAAGTCCTGCAGCCAAGTGGAAACAGTTTGTTTCTAACAGAGTGACAGAAATACAAACAGCAACGGATTCATCCCACTGAAACCATTGCCCTGGAAATGAGAATCCAGCGGATCTCTTGAGTAGAGGACTCTCTGCAAAGGAACTTTTAATTAACTACATCTGGTGGAGAGGATCTGGATGGCTATCAAGAGCACAGGAATCCTGGCCTGGGATAACTGCTGCCGTCACGTGGATAACGATGCGATATTAGAATTGAAACGTGATGTTCTAGTTCTCGTCAACGTGGCAAATGAGCCGATTTTCAGCCCTGACAAGTACATCACTTGGACCAAGATGACAAGAGTGACAGCTTGGATAAAGCGTTTCACAGACAACTGCCGTTCACCGACGACTCGTCGTGAAGGTACACTTACGGCCCAGGAACTTCGAGCAGCCGAAAACGTACGGTTACGTCAAGTACAGCGAGAAGCATTTGTAAATGAAATGCCACAACTAATGAAAGGAGAAAACCTGGAAAATACTTCGCCAATACGAGACCTCCATCCTTTTATTGACGACGAAGGACTCGTCCGAATTAGGAGCCGCCTCCAAAACGCGGCGGTGTCCTACAACGAGAAAAGCCCCGTACTACTTCCAGGTGAGCACTCTGTGATAAGACTGATTGTTCTACATGCTCACAAAGCGGTGCTCCACGGAGGAATCGGTGACAGCTTAACTGAACTGTGCGCTAGGTTTTGGGTCACGCGTGCACGACAGGCTGTTAAACGGGTTACTGGAAAGTGTCTACTTTGTGCCCGGTTCCGCCTTAAAGCGGCAAGTGCGCCGATGGCTCCCCTTCCAGGTGACCGAGTCCTAAGCTCTCGTCCTTTCGAAGTTACGGGAGTAGACTTTGCCGGACCCATTTTCGTGAAAAACTGTAGCGTAGTGAAAGCGTACTTTGTGTTATTCATTTGGGCTGTCGTTAGAGCTAATCACCTTGAGCGTGTTGTAGACCTTACGGCAGACTCTTTTTTTATGGCTTTTAGAAGATTCTGCGCCAGGCGTGGCACCCCGTGAGTTGTGTACTCGGATGACGCTGCAACTTTTAAAAGAGCGTCAAGAGAACTAGCTGCAATGCACCAGTTGCTGAGAGAAGATGAAGTGAAAAACTACTATGCTAGTCACCCTGTAACGTGGAGATTTATCGCAGAAAGAGCGCCATGGTGGGGCGGTTTCTGGGAAAGGCTCATTGGAATTGACCTTTTTCAGAGATCGCTGGGCGCATGCGCCGACTCTGAGAGAGGCGAGGAAAGGGAAAGGCGCCATTTTTGGTGGCTCTCTCGCCCGCTCGGTCGCTCAGACAGTGCTGGTTATACTTGACTCTTCCGGTATTCTCGCGGCTTGGCTTCATAGTCGTCATGCCTCACCACCGCGCAGCAGAAGGTTGCGTAAATAGAAGCAAACATTGTTAAAATGCCAAATTTTATAAAGTTATTGTAGCCTTTGGCGGGTGGTGCACGAAAGCACCCGATGTCAAACTCCCCGCCGTTTTTGCCCTGCTTTCAAGAGCCTATGACGAGAGTACCCCGTGTCAAGTGGCTGGAACATCAATGTGACGGCGGGACATTCTGCTTTTAACTAAAATACAGTAAATGTGAACAGGATGATATACCTGAAATTGGGGTAGGAAAAGGAAAACGCAAAAGGAAAAGGAAAAAGGGCAGGCAACGTCTCCTGAGACGTTGCCCGTTTTTCCTTTGCGTTTTCGTTTTCCTACCTCAGTTTGCTGTTGCTGATTAGATGCGAATACATGAAAGGGTAAAACATCAAGGACGGGGACGGATACAGGACTTCTTGAAAGAGGTACTCTTTCCGTCCCAGTCCTCGATGTTCCATCAAGCTTTCATGTATTCAACTTGCACCAGCTCGCCTGCACTCTGACCATTTTTTGTTAATAGTAAACGTGCAAACGAGGTTGTGTGACGTAATCATGTCATACCCGGTACTGAATTAAAAAATAACAGCATAAAGCTTTCCGTTCTTTAGGCGTGCGTTATTCACATTCGGGTCTTGCCACGTTAAAAAAACAACTGACAAAACATTTAAAGCGAGCGAAACGAATTTAAGCCTTACGGAGACAGAACCTTGATGACATTTCTTGGCAACCAACAATGAACTTGTGGCTGTTTGCTGCTTGCCCTGTTTGCTGGGCCCACTTTGTCGAAGGTTTGTAAACGTGTCGAAATCAAAGATGGATTGTTTCTAACATACCGTTCCTTACTTTTCGACGGTGCAGGCCATCCTTCGCGATATCAAGACGGCCCGGATTTCGCACCGTCCAAGTTTGTTTACACATTCCCGAATACGGCATTGTCCCGTGCCCTCGCGCGGTACTCAGGACGCGAAGTGACGGACGCGATAACCTTGAATAACTTAAGAGATCAAGGAGAGTAAAATCAGCTGTTTGTAGTGGCCGGGACTCATAATGGAGCTCACAAGATCCGCACAAGGTGGATGGTTGGGTCGGTATCCAAGCTGGTCACCATTACTTTCCTTACATAACACTGTGCGACTCTGCTTTGAAAGCAGACCTTTTTTAGTTGCTTGCAAGACGCGACACCGAAGTGAAGATGAAGTGACTCCGAGTCGGTGGTAAGAACCGATGCGGCGTCGGCGGTCTATCCATCCCTGAAGGTATAAAAACGAACGAGGTCCTCTGTATCCTAGACATCGACTTTTGTTAATCCTCCAGGTCGTTCTCAGCCATTTCGAAGAAAATATGCACGCGAAGCGACGACAGAAAGACACGTTCAGATTGGTGAAGAACGGAACAACGCCACCAGAGAACACACGCAAACACATGGACCGGGAGACAAGCCACGCCTGGCGCGGACGACGTTCCCGGAGCCACCAAAAGTGTTTCGAGGGATTCCCGCGAGAGCGCGCCACGGGGAAGGGGTCTCTCAATCTGCAACAGCTGGGTACCTTGCTGTCTGAAACCGAAGCGGTTGTGAATTCAAGACCGATCACTTTCATTTACTCCAGTTCCAATGAGCCAGCCGTATTGACTCCGTCTCATTTTTTGTTAGGATGTCGTATTCTCTCTCCTACAGAGGCTTCAGATGAGTCAAAGGCTCAGCTATAGAAATCCTCAATCTTGGGATTCACCGACAGCGTGCGATGGAGCACATGTGGGAACGATGGCAGCATGAATACCTACTTGTGCTCCGCAGTTTTCACTCCCGAAAAGTGCAGCGTACTCATAACCTAAAAATAGGTGATGTAGTAATAATTCATGATGATAGTGTACAAAAACTGTTCTGGAAGGCTGGGCTCATTATGGGGCGCATTCAAGGCAAAGGATGGTGTAGTACGGGCATGTAAGGTAAAGCTGCCAAAAGGGACTGAAATTATCAGGCCTGTGCAGCGTTTGTACTCCCTTGAAATTCCCACCTCGGGCCCCGAAGTGTGTTAAATATTCTAGACGAAGAGGAGGCCCTCCTCTTCGTGTACAATATTTAACACACTTCATTGTTAAATATTTAACACAATATTTAACAATGAAAACTTCCCCGTCTTCAGACCTTTGTCGCGCGCACATTCAATGTGCGCGCGACAAAGGACTGAAGACGGGGAAGTCTGGAAAAAGAGGCGCGAGGACAGAGGACATCGAGACGATCGGGGCGGCGGTGAGCGTTGTACATATCTGCCAAGTTAAGACGATTTTCCATTTTTACACCGTGGACATCGTTCCTCTATCTATATGAAACACAGCACACCGCCACCCCTGCGCCAAAAAAAAGTGTTTGTTAGCACGATTACGCGTGCCACGGTTTCAAGCGTTGGTAGAATGTCCTACTTCAAATACCACTTCCCTAAATAAACACGACGCGTCTAACAGGATTTGCCGCGCGTTACCCGAACAGCGCATGAAGCGATCTGACGAGGCAAGGGATTCAAGATCCGAGCTTTCTGACCCAGTCTGTCCTACCCGTGACGTCCCAAACGATAATAATGATAGCTAGAGAAGTGCCCCCTGTAGTTCGCGCACGTCGCCAATAAAAACAGAACCACGCGTTCATCTAGGAGGTCAGAACTAAAAACTAGAACAGCGGCTTTTGTTGCGACTCAAAATTACAACCACCCATTATCATGAACAACGGTGAACCCCCTTGTGCGCTCTTTTGTAAGTAGTCCAAGATTTGGAAGAAAACTGAAGAGGCATAGCTCTTATCATGACCACTGACCCCGTGATCTGGCAACGCTATCTTTAAAATAGAGTATTCTTTTTGTTGTTTTTTCGCCATCGTGACATCAAATGTTCTGGGGCATATTTTGGCCTTAGCAGTTCTTGAGACATGCAAACCGAATCAACCAACATCGAAATTTTGGGTTTTTCGGATAAATCCGAATTGACGAAAATTTTGCCGGCAAGCATCTCTCGAATTCATCCGAAAACACGGAACCCCATTTATAGGTACGAAAAATAAATCAAAATCCTAAATTATCACAACTCTGACAATACTAATGCAAGCGCACCAGATTTGCCATGCAAATTTAAAGAATTCTGTGTTTTGCAGTGGTTCTTTGTAAATATTGTCTGGACACAAACCAAGAGGAATACAGTGCTAAATGTCAGCAGTACAGTATACATCCAGTATGGGATCCCCAATGCTCGGGAGAGCAAACAAGCAATATGAGATATGCATCACTTGAACAGCCAGTGTTAAGAAGCTTAGCGGCTATACCTAGGGGGATTTTCCTTGGGGAAACATCCACTTCTTCCACCGATACAAACACGTAGGAAGCTTTTTGCACTGCATAAATAAAACACCCCCCATGGACAGTAAGTGTAGCTGCCGAAGTAAGCCTTCCCCAATCACCCCTTGCCACTTTAGGTACATAAAATGCTAGATATTCTTGTTATGTTGGCCATCAGCGCTGAAGCATGAGGAAACTAAAGTCAGACAAGGTCATCCTAGCTATGAACATTGGGCTCTTCATTTTATTTAAAAGGAAAATGCAGTGCAGATACATATTTGGCACCTTGTCCCAGAGGGCATTCCAAACTGAAGCTTCATTCACACCACAAATAGTTTTTACCTCTCACTTGCGCAAGACGATGCTCTAGGTTGCAGCTTTCACACAACTTACTGTAGCTTATGTGTCCTCAGAACAGCAGCAGCAGGGAGGGTCCATGTATCTGAGTGTGAGTGTCTTTCGCTGGCTTTCATCCATCTTGCAAAACTCCAGTTTAGTCATAGGTAAACTCGCCGACTTGTCTGCCAACGCTTTCTTCAACTTTTCATTCCGTACCCGGAGACGCCGCACACACTCCTGCAGTGACTTGATTTTCTTTCTGTCTGCATTGTGAAGGCTCCTGAACTTCTGAATCGTGTCCCAGAGCTGCATTTTCTCGTCCATCTCGTTACTTGGAAGATCAGGCATTATCGACGTCTTGGCTGCAGGCCCCGACAATGACGAGTGTGAAGTTGAGGCCGAAGGGTACTGCCCCACCTTCAAAAGTCTGATATGGTCCCTAAGAGATGAAGTACAGGTTGTTGCCATCAGCTGCTGGACAAGAATCGCTGGACGTTGAACTTCCGCGGTGGAGGCATGCTGCTGACTACCCGTTACAGAGACGATCCTCGGGATACACATCTGCGAAACATCTTCTGGAATGACACTATGTTCCTCAGGTGCGGGAGTCTGCGGAACAGTTGGGCTGTGCATCTCTGGCGCTTGCTGTAGAAAACTATCATGGCCCCCAACCCCAACACCTTTCAAGATAATGACTTCCTGCGCTTCCCCTGCAGCATCCATACGCTGTAGACCCCACATCAAACCATCTGGCTTTGAAGTGTTACTATGGTTCTCACCGCCACTTTGACCCTTTTTTAGGAGAGAAACGCCTCTTGTAAGCCCAGGTTTCACCAAGACTTGCAACTGCGCAGGACCTGCAGGTTGCTGATCCGTTGTATTGGGCCCGATGCACACATTTTCTTTTGTTAATTCAGGTGCTGCCACAGGCTTGGGCACGATGGGTCGTAAATGAGGGAAAGGGCGGTGATCTCTTGAAAGTGACTGCATGTCCTTAGTGGTTTTGGCCTTTCCCAAATTTGTTTCAGAACTTTCATCACTGTCTACCTGGAGGACTCCTTGATGCAACAACTGCAATGCACTCACTGCTGCATCTGCGAAACACTGCAGGTCGCCACAGCTGTTGTCGTCCTGATCTGCTGTATCCGTGGTCACCTCCTCTGAGTGCTCACTCTTCCGCAAAGAAGTATCCATATCGCTCTAATGAAAGGAAACAGCAGTGCAAGAAAAGGGTTTCAGGGGTTCAAAGCCATTAACGACACATGACTGTGCACCAATTTCTCATGCCAGAACTGAATGGCATATAAGTAGTAAAAATTCCACCGAAGTGCAAAATCTTTACAAGCACCATAGAAGTTCTGTAGCTAAGACAAGAATAATAAAAAGGAAAGAAAGAAAAAAAAAGCTCCACCAGGTGAAAAATATATTCAAAATGCTTACAGCAATGATCTTTAAAGGGAGTTATGGAACAGAAGCCGGTGGCATGGTAATTAACTAAATTATTCTTCTAGTCCTCATGAAACTCAATTATTGAGATGTCATGTAGTGCCTTTCGGGTTCTGGAAATGGACATGTATGTACTGAAGGATGGGATTTTTACTTTTTTTATTCTTGCTATACTTTTGAGCTCGTATGGCCCTACTGTAATAAATCTTCTGTTTCGAATCTATGGAGCACTGCTGAACAAAATATCTATTGTCGAGTGAAAATTCGTCTTCTGTTGGTGGCTTTTGCAGTAGCACCGCAAGTGTCATGTCACCACTGGCTTACGGGGAAAAAAATGTTGTTGAGGAGGAAAGGAACACCTGAGCATACCTGCAAAAGCTAGTATACTATAGGGAAAGAAAAGCTAAAACTTGTTCCATGCCTTCCAAATGTGAAGTGTTTATCTTGAGTGCTATATCACTGAAGTCAGAAAATAATTACATAAGTAGTGCCTTCAATTGGCAAGAAATGCACAATCTCCTACTGCACCCTTCTGTAAAAACTAACGAACAAAGTTTCTTTATTGAGGAGTTTCAGCGACGGTGTCACCGCCCTGGCGGCCGGTCGCCGAAAGAGAACGAGGGGGATAGGTTCGCTGGGCGGTGGCTTTGTGTATATGCGTTGGCCGCGAACGTAGGCTTATAAACTTCGGCAGCAAGAATATTACGCGGCTCTAGTGTTTCAGTACGAGCAACAGAGGTGACACGATCTGCTACGACCAGCTACGACCACCCGCCGCAGCGATGCAGGCGTCGAAGGAGCGCAACCTGTGTACTACGCAGTCAGCCGCCGTCGCCCGACGCAGATCGTTCGGCATTCAGGGCTTTCCGCCCCGGGTTCTTCGCTTGTACTTGGAACCGAGTATTATTTCCTGTGCTTGTGTATGTGCTCAGTGGCTGGATATGGACCTCATAGAGCAGTTCTTCAGACTCAACAGCGATTCAAAGTTGACGGCGGAAGGGCTTGCGGCAACGCTTTCGGTTGGTGCACGGCTGCGACGACTACACGGATAAATTTTAAGATTGGTGCTAGCAACGTGGGCCATAGTCGCTTTATGTTGACACGATTTTGAGTGTAAGTACTCCGTGCAAAGGCGAATCTATCGCGTTTCTAGTCCACCTTTGTTTTTGTTGTTTTTAGCACGCACGACCGACTGCTAAGCAAATGCTTCTGTACCGATCACGGAGTGAATAGGGAATTGTAGTAGATCGTTTTTCTCCTCCGCTACTGTATCCGTGAAGAAAACGCTGCAGCTGCGCATGCGCGCCGCCAGCCTTGTCTGCATAGTTGAAGGTCTTGTGGCGGATTACGGAGCGCTATCCGGGTGCTTAGAGGGCTGCGGGAACGGTCTACTACAACTCCCTATTGTCTTCGGCCTTACATTGCGGAACGCCCAATAAAAAGTCATATTCGTTCAGCAAGAAAACTTCCCTTTCGAGTGACCTTCTGATTGATAATTTCTCCCGTACTTAAGTGCTTTAATCAACACGATCGATTAAGTTTGCTTCCCTAGTTAGGACATTTTTGTGCTACATGCGGCACTAATGCTTGGCACGATGTTTGCCACTGGTGGTATTGTGAATTGGTTTACTTCCAAAGCTAACAGTATGACAGGTGGGACCATTCAATTTGCTAAAAATGTGATGATATGGGAATTTCGTTGCATAACTAGCGTTTTACGTTTAAGATTGATAAGAAACATGCTCATGTGATGATGCATGTCTACAGCATAAGCTTTGCAGATCCAGAATAGATGTGCTATAGGCTACAGCCTCAAGGTTTTTAATGGACTAAATTGGTGATTACACGGCAATAAATGTTGTGGTGAAAAACTGCCCATTGACTCGGTGAGTTTTGATTGTGACCATTGGTGTGTTGTTGGCAAATTAGATAATGGCACACCTTTTCCCTGACCATCTGGCTTCAAGGGGCATTGCATCTAGATGTGCTCAAATATCTGTATTTCAAGGTTCAGTGGACCCCTCTGCATCATTACAGGAAGGCAGTCTCAAGCCACAACAAACAGCAGTGAATATACAATGCATAATAACAGGCACCAGTGTCCAGGCGTATAGTCCGCATTAATCAGTTTGAGCCTAAAAATGTTTCTGTTTTGTTTAGATAGTTTGCATTTGTTGTATAATCCGCAGGGCCCGATTTCCGCGCCCAGTGCATAGTCCGCCAAGCTGGTGCGTTGTGTCTTCGTGCTTTTTTTCCTGGGTGGCATTTTCTTCTGAAGTTCTTCGGTGAACGCTATTGAGCCTGAAGAACTGCTTTTGAGGCCCATATCTAGCCACGGAGCACACACAAGCACAGAAAATAACACTCGGTGCCAAGTACAAACGAAGCACCTGGGCGGAAAGCTGTGAATGCCAAACGAGCCGCGTCGGGTGACGGCGACTGACTGCGTTGCGCCCCTTCGACGCCTGCATCGCTGCGGTGGGTGGTCGTAGCTAGTCGTAGCGAGATGATCTTCACTTCAAGCAAGAAATCTTGTAATACCATAGTCAAGATATGTGTGCAAGTGTTCGACGACGTGGGCTCTCTCACGTTGGTGCAGTTGTCATCAAGAAAGGTGCATATCAACAATGTTGCGTGTTTGAGGCTGAAACTATGACGCATACTTATCTAAACCTAAATTTATCGGTCTGCGGCTACAAACATTTTCGTTGACGTTGCTTAGATGATGTAACCATTCAGGCCTCGCATTAAATGGTGTTGCGACTCTTCGGTTGTGTATGAAAACCTATTTTTGCCCTAATAAAAGACATTTCCAAAAGGACATGTGTCTTCTGCTGATACATATCTTCCAATTTACAATGCAGAGGCAAACAGAAAATCAACTGCATACATCTACCATTTAGCATAAGCACCTTTGGCATTCATTCTTGAGCACACTCAAATATCAGCTTAGTTTGGTCTTGTTTTAGAAGCTTTGCCCTGTTCTGTAAAAATAAAACAGTTAAAAAAGCTTTACCTTCGTTCTCCTTCTTGCATTTAATACAGACTTGTTTGTGAGCAGATATCACCATGGCACATACAACTCGAATGACCGATGAGACTATTGCTATTACAATAAAGCTTTCCAGAAGAGCCAAAACGAGGCTTGTAGGGGTGCAAAAGCACATAGAAATGAGATTGGCACTTCCGGGGATTGTTTACATTACGCGTAAAAACAGGACGACCGGCGACCAGCTGATCGCAAGATAACACCAAGGATACCGATGTTTCGATACGCAGGATAAAGACCTCAATCGTCCCTTGTATGCTGCAGTTGTCATACATTCAATCCAACCGCTTTTTTGCTCAATTAACTAGAACAACCGAAGAGTTCGCGACACCTTTTAATGCGAGGCCTGAATGGTTACATCATCTAAGCAACGTCAACGAAAATGTTTGTAGCCGCAGACCGATAAGTTTAGTCTTAGATAAAGTATGCGTCATAGTTTCAACGCGCGAACATTGTTGATATGTACCTTTCTTTGGACCCGCGTACATTCGGTTCAACTTGATGACAGCTGCACCAGAAGTGAGAGCTCACGTCGAACACTTGCACACATATCTTGACTCTGGCAAGATTTCTTGCCTTCAACTGGCTTGAAGACTTCATCTGTAGCATCACGGTAGGTCTTGGTTGAAACGATGATCGTCTCGCACACGGCAACAAACAGAGAACTACACGCTTTGTTTTATTTATACGCGACCGGTCTACGGGCGTTGCAAATCTATCCCCCTCTTGTGCGCCATGTTGGATCAATCGGAGCGCCCCCTATATTCGCTGAAACTCCTCAATAAGAGGTCAGTGCATGATCAAGATGTAAGCTGTCTCTTGCATTGCTCTTAAAAGGGGAAAGGGGTTTGCCAAACAATTACCTGCAGGCCCCAAACCATTTAATTAGTGAAAAAAGCCACCTTCGAAAAAACCAAACAAAAAGTAAAAAGATACACATGTCCCTGAATGATGTAATCTTCTTAAGAAGAGACGCTAGTCTTGAATATTTTTCTTGTCTTAGCTAATTTAAATTAAATTCTCACACCTACTTTAATTTTGGGTGCTAAGCACAAATATGGGCTTATTTTTTTCCTAAATATTATAAGTTTTTATTTTACTTTTGTATTTGTATGACCATGTGACACGCAATCCTGAACAAGTTGTTAGCTTATCTTCCGGGCGTTCACTACACTGGGCAAGGGTTCAAGGACCAACATGATCTTTTCCTGGGTAGTGTTTGGGCCTGCCTTGTTGATGAAATTTGTGTTCCTTGGGATTGGGCTCTGTGCATAAAGTTTGCTGACCTTTGAAGATGGGGTTTGCACTGACCGAAATATTCCACTTCTCAATTTGTGAGTGCACTTTAAAATTTGCTATCAGAACCAAGGACGACATTCAAACATCACACTTAGTGTTTTGAGAGCAAAGGAAGTATGCAGTGCATCAGGCCCGTATGTGACCGACTGGCCAACTTAGCAGCTGCAGCACTTTACCTTATCAGTTTCTAGTTTTAATCCTAAATGATGAGAGCAAATTTTTTAAACTGAGAATTTGAAACAAAAAGAGGGGCATGCAACAATAAAGACAACTTGGGAATATACATGTGTGTTCATTACAAACAAATAATTCAAGGTCCTTTGGTACAATGGGACTGGGTAGAGCCTTTGAATATCTGCATTGTCTGTACATGTCCATGCATGTTTCTCAAATTTTCTTTTCACTGTACATACAGGCAGAACCTGAACCACTGTTTTGTATAAGAGGCATATGAAGGAGTCATTGAGTAGGCTCTTATATTGCAAAGTTGTTGTGATGTTGCCATTTTTATTACAATTCTACTGTCACTATAAATCCAACAACATCACAGAAATTTTTTTGCTTGTATTATGTACTTCTCATTTTGCTTAAGTTTTGGTATTGTCTGTAACCCTACAATAATGACCTACTAAGGGCAATGTATATAAACATATAAATAAATCAGTACACAAATAAATAAATAATTAAGACCTAGAGCTTAAAAAGCCTCCGAAAAAAAAAAAAAAAAAATTTTAAACAATCTGGTTGGGACATTTTATTTTGCGCAGAAAAAAAAAAAATTTCTACAGCAATATTAGTTGGCACGTCACCTCCTTTCCACTCATTTTCTCTCTCGGCATTTCAGGCACGTGGCGGAGAGGTGGCTCGGCTTCAACTTCACGACCGAAATGGTAATTCCGGAATGACCCGTGATGATTATGGACTTCGCGCGCAGAATTTCAAATAAATCTCTCGCCGTCAATATTGCTCTGAAAAAATTTCTTTTTGCGCGTAATATTTATTTTTTGACACTCGTGTCCCAACCAAACTGTTTAAAAATTTTTTTTTTTTTTTTCAGGGGCTCTTTAATAACCGGATGACAACATACCGTAAAATACCAGGCAAGCACCCACTCAAACTTTAGGATAATCGCAAAAAAATCAGAGGATGGGCGCTTGTCCGGTCATCAATTTTACGTATAAATGTACTGTGCGTATTTTCTCAGATCTTACAAATTTGGTAATGGCCACTTAATGTGGAACGGGCGGATGCGCGGTATTCTACGGTAGCTTCGAAACTGAGCCAAGAAGTTGGACGAGACATTCTAAGGGTGAAGTAGCTAACTCCTTCCCAGACTGTACGTTATAACTAGGATTTCGTGTTTTCCGAGTTTATTTTTCGCGAAAATCGGAGGGTGTTTTTTTAAGTTAATTTTTTTTCCAAATATTTGGAGTTCATCGGAGTTTATTTTTGTTAGATTCCCAATTCTTTGAGGTAGAGAGTTTATCTTTGCTATGTTCCCAAATTTTCAAGATTGAAAATAAAAATACTACATTAACCGGCTGGTATAACCCTGCCCCAGATTTATAAGAATGCACTTGTACCAATGTCATTGGCGCCCTTGCCGTTAGTAATACTAACTGTCCTACCCCAAAATTTGAAAAAGACAGATCAGAATCATTAAACTCCTTGACGTAGTCATTGGAAAGCTTGCTTTCTTTTCATCCTGCTTCACCGCTTCTCCCAGCGGCTGTACGGGGAGGGGTGGTGAGATAAAAGCCTCAGGTGTCCCTCCTATCAAGTGTTAAGAGTTCACAGCTTTCACGATTATCATATCACAACCCTACCTTCCTCCAAGAAGGTCAATCTGAAAACCATAACAGTGGTTGGAGTCGTGACCCAGAATTACAATGCCCTGTTGTCTCGAATGGATCCCGACGGGATAAATGGTGAACCTTCTTTGGTCACTGCTACGAGATTTTAAAGGAATCTGGAGAGGCCTCTCCTGATGACCGCTGAACCCATGCTCTGACCAAACTTATTTGTAGCAAACTCCCTTTCTTTGCTCCCTTGTGGCCATCGTAACATCTAAATTTTGAGTTTTTTGGATAAATCCAAATTAAAGTTTTTTACCGGCGAGCGTTTTTCGGATTTATCCGGAAACACGGAACCCTAGTTATAACTCACGGCCACTAAAAGATGTCCCCTACTCACAGGCACTGGCATACCATAGCAGTGGTCTCCATCGACGGGTGCAACCAGCGACGATGACTGCAAAAGTATAACACAATGTCATTATAGTATATTATTCTTCTGAACTTCTAGAGCGTAGAACACCATGCTAACATGAAAAGAAGTGCTAATTTGCCAGAAAGGCAGGGAAAGAATGCATTGACAACTTTTCGAAGTTATGCTTCATCATAAAATCGTAAAGCTCACAGATCCCTCCCAACCTTACTCCTCTCCCTATTTCTTGAACCATTTGTCCCAGAAATCAGAGTTCCAATTTCTGTCTCAAAACTATGCTAGCCAACAATAACGATAAAAGTTAATGCAAATTCACTGATAATTCCTATATTCAATATAATTGTGTGCCTTATTGCCTATGCCAGTCTCCCAGTAAATTTATGCTCCACACAACCATTGAAGCCATAAGACGCCAACAGGTCAACCTCAGACCTAGATACCTAGATAGCAGTAGTCTATTTCAGTCTCTAATTATTGAGCACCTTAAAAACTAGCTTGTGTGAGCAATTTTCTTCCACACAGAAAAAAAGCATGTCACAATTCCTGGTTTGACTGTATACAAAGTCATGCCAATATGCAGTGTATCTTCTTTCTCATTGTATACAACTCTTGGGGATAGTTACAGCACTTGTACAAAGCCACATGGACAGAGATAGTGCAATTGACTCAAGATTCTTGTTTGACAGAAATTCATACTTGCACTAGGCATCAAACAACTATGTCTCTGAATACAAACTTTGTCTGTGTGACAGCCAAGAAAATTACAAAAAATTGAGACCCCTGGCCTGCATTTCTGCACCATTTATCTTCCACAATGACTAGAGTTTATTTATAAGCAATATTCACCCGACATTATATTTTGGCATTTTCTTCATCATATAGACCTTTCCATCCCAGCAGTTTCCTGACCGGCCAATAAAGGGCATTGACGCACTCGCTGCCATAACATTGCTTCAATTTGGTTGGCTTCAGTTTTGGCGTACTCTCGTGGCTGTGTTGGTATGTTATGTAGTTTTTGCTTAATTCTGTGGTACAAATGTGTCAACTGTGATACACAACCAACAATACGGTGGTACTGGGCCACTTTAAAACTATGACGCGATTTCGAGTCTAGATTGTGGACATTTTTTTCGAACACCCCATGTGGTCCATGGTACACTGTAGGCTGAGTAGAAAAACTATCGACCCTGCCAGTGCTGTAGCCGGGGGAAATGCTTGTGCTTCAGCCTTCGCCCCACAGAGCCGACTTTATTGGGCAGGAGATCGAACTATAGGGGGCGCTCTGACCCCTTTGTTGTCCCTACCCTCGGTGCTTACTCAACACAAGGCCTGCGCACATGCCAACAGGCCTTATTGGCATGTCCATGTCATCTTCTACAATAGAGCACGGGGCACAGTTTAATGTAAAAAATACTAACAATTGACGAAGCGACGTTAAGTGCCGGACCTATTCTCAGAGAATGCGAGCTTGACCCACTTCGGCTTTTGTACGGAGCTGGGACCGTGCATGCTGCATTGTTCATGCAGGCCGGAGTGGAAACAAAAGAGCCCCTCCTCCCCCTTACCGGAGAACACGAACTCCAGCCGAACGCTGACGCCGCGTTCGGTTATGTCGGCCGAGCGCTGAATCATTGTATTTGTTGTCCCCATCCGTGTAGTTCTAAAGTTAACCGCTTGGGGCGTCACGATTGCTCCTCCTCCCCAATACGGCAAGCAAGTACGCCAAAATGCGTCTTTGGCGCATAGGAACACAAGGAGGGGCACGCCAATCAGACGACAACACAGCAAACATGCAGGGAATGCGCAATAATGAGGCAGCCAGGATGACGAGGCAGCCAGGCAGTCATTAATTGAAGTCGAGGGTAAACAAATGCACAAGGTGTGCAAGGAGCAGACAAACTTGAACTTGCGGGTTGTATTGTAATATTATACGGCCCGCAACTTCAAGTCAAAATGCATGTGTATATTAAATATAACCATGCATTTTGACACCCTGCCTCTGCACCCCAAGTCACAGAACCCCCAGCAACTTCATATTTTTTATGGAGGCAGAGCATGATGCTTCAAAAGACACCCATAATGACTCCTTACACCGACTATATTAGTCACATATTAAGATCCAAAATGGGCAATCATAAAAATACATTGCACCTCCTATTGTGAATGCTCTGTCACTGCCCCTTAGAAAATCTGCGCTGTATAGGTAATTGGCCTTTCAACTCTATAGTGCTCATCTACGAACACAAACTCAATGTGCACCAGTGCTAAAGCTGATTCCTCGTATCCGGAACGCTGCCGATGGATACAGCCAAAACAAGTTATAAAATCAAGTGGAGAGGTTGTGCACATAATGGCGACACTCAACTAGGTAGTAAAGATAAGCGGCATTTTATAGATCAAGGCACAAATTGCAGTGAAATGCGACGAAAAGCATGAAATGACGTATTCAGCAAGGCGCACAAATGAGAGCGGAGAGTCAACTTGAAGCCACCTTATAGCGGCCGCGTCACGTGATCCCAAAATGGCAGCACCCACGCGACGGAGGGTGAAAAGGGTGTTTACATGGCTTGCACTGACGTCACATCAGCTGCTATTATGGTGGCCTTGTGCTGAGCACACACCTTCTGCAGCATACATTTCTCACAGAGTTTGTTTATCTCACTAAGAACAAGTACATCATGGCCAACATGCAGCAAGGTGTGATTACCTCAAGCGCAAGCCGTGTATATGCTTGAATGAGCTCCCACCTGTTGAGGTCACGCAAGTATTATGGAAACTTTGCCAGCGACTAATTTTTTAGGTGTTTCCAGAGAAGTAAGTGACTTTGGTGCTAAGCGCCTACATGACCGCTTCTATATTTTCACGATTGACAAAAGGTGAGTCGTAGATTGAAAGTTCTGACCTCCTGGCAAACCATCAATAACACAAGAAAGGGTTGTGAAGCAGATATTCTGTGTCATCCCTTTCGTGACATCTTATTGCTACAGTTCAGTATGTGCTAATGAGTCATGACAGAACTGGAAAAGCTTTCTTGGTCGCCACGATTGACGGTTTTGGTTTCCTCTCTGCTTGCCATGATACGTGGTTTCTTTCTCTGCAGCGCTCCCCATGAGAGTGGAAAGAGTGTAGGGCTTCGAAGGTGGAGCCGGTCCTACTATGCCTGCAATGTTTTTAATGTTTATAACGTCGGCAAGTTTTTATGGTGTCGGTAGGTTACTCACGCCAAGCGACCTCCTCCTTTTTCTTTCCGGGAACAGCGACGGCACTACATTGTCGCGAAGACGAATACATGACCGCGACGTTCGGTCCATGTCCTCTTCCCGAAAATGCACTGAACACAACAAGCTCGAACTGTTCGGACGCCAGCCGTTCCGTTTCATGGCAGCTACCCAGGCATCCTGTAGCTCCTTCTTCTTGGGGAACCTAGAAAGGACAACACGTTGACACTGTGTGCACAAATGGGTTTCTTTACGGAATACAGCGAGGCGTGAGAAACGAGCGCTTACCGATGAAAGCTGACACCCGAGTTGCTGGTTGTTCTATTCTTACCGCAACGGACCCTATTCTTACACCCGAGAGCACTGCACGCACCCATATTCACAAAGGAAGAGCACCAGAACTGAAAAAAACCCAACAACCCATTTTGCCAGCACTATCATCCGTACCAGTACGAGAGAGAGCAACTGGAGCCAGCCGGAGCATACGGCGATACGACTGATACGGCTCTGGGAGCATCTAGAGAGTAGGGGATGGCCAGCGGCAAAGCACAGCCGTGGCCACAGTTGCCGTGGCGTCGTGGTGCGCCGTAACTACAGTGAAATAACCGAAATAATACGGCCGTGGTGGCGGTGGCGGCGAGCCACAGCAGCGTGCAGCGTAGCAAGCGTAAATTATTATATTTATGTATTAGGTTCTAGGTTACGCCATCAAGGGGTCTGGTCACCTTCAAATGCCAGGTGCCGCTAGCTACCGCCCATAACGAAAGTTAGGGTACAACAGGCATTAGTTTCATTTATCCACCCATTTTTTCGTGAAACTCAACGAGGTTGGTGAAACTGGTACCAGTGTTGCCAGATTGGGCTATATATAGCCAAATTGGGCTACATTTTTTTTTAGTTGGCGTCAAAATTTCGCTTTTGGCTATGTGGCTATTTTTGGGCTATTTCTAAGGGTGCGGCGAACTCTTGTCGAACCTCAGGTTCGACGTCGAACTTTGAGGTTCGACTAGTTAATTTTCGAACTTCTAGTCAGTTTCGGAGAAAACATTGTTTCTCTTTTGGCTAGTTGAGAGTAGAGCACTATATAGCTCCTACGGAGCAGAGTAGCGCAATCCTTTGAACCCCGTGTTTTGCCGACAACATGGCCGACAGAGCGGCTCGGCGCGAGTCACGTGGTACTCAGGGTTCCAGGAGGCGGCCCGCCCTATGGGAGAATACATGGAGATCGACATAACACGGCTGATTAAAAAACTAAAGGCGAGTTCATATTTTTCAAAACTAGCCTGTCGTGAAGTTAGTAAAGCACTAAACACTTTATCAAAGTTTTAATAATATCGGATGCGTGTGCAAATTTTGAGAAGGCAATTTCCAAGGCAATGGCGTTTGAAGCAGACGATTTCTGCTCGCAGCGGAGATGGGCTTTTCGGGTTGGCCGGAGCGGGTCACGTGAATGGTGTGACGTCGCCGTGTCGTTTGCTACAAGATGCCGCTCAAGCAATTTTTAAAAAAAAGTCAGGTCCTTGCGGGGCACAAAACTTAGCGCAAATTATTCTAAAATGTTCCATTATTATGTCAAAAACAATTGCCACTCCGTACATCCCCACAATACTGAAAAAACAGCGATTGTCTCACGTTCTCCATGCATTTCTGACCGCAGTTGGAACCTCCGGGCGTTCGCCGCTAGTCGCCGAGAGGCGGCGTTCTGGATTGCGCTACTCTGCTCCGAAGGAGCTATATAGTGCGAGCGCCTATCCAGAGATCTGCCCGTGCCTAGATCTGGGGACAACGCCAGCGTAGGGAAAACCGCTCGTAGGGAATCCGTTGATACGTTGGTTGCCAACATCACAGCCGTGTTGGCCGTGTCGCCGTGTCCGGTGTGTCGGTTGGCGCATAAAGTTTTTGGAGCGCGACAGACTTCGCCTCGTCCCGAGCGTGCAGGTGTGCACGTTCAGCTTTCCTGGTGCGTCCACACGGACGCTGCCCGGGGAAGTTGGCCGTTTACACCTGCACGCAACGGACTTCGTCGCCGTGTATGTGGGCGGCAACGACCTATATGGCGGGGATTCCGCGGAAGCTATTTCTTCACGGATCGAGGTGCGTTTCACTTTGTGTCATCTCTTCCTGTACCCCATGTCCCGCTGCGGTGGCCTGCTGCTATTGTAATTGTAATAATCGAGCGGCTATGTCAGGGTGGTTTCTCTCTGTCTTTGACTTGCTGTGGGTGGACCTTGCAGGTCAAATTCTTGATGTAAGTACTTGCTATGTGTTGCACTTGACGTCATTCAAAGAGCGCTCCGATGACCACCAGAGGAAAGGGGAAGAGGGAGCTCCCCTCTTATCAGGATCCTCTTTTGTGCCTCCCGGATAAGCACAGACGTCGCTGTTCTCTTCCCAGATTATAGAAGATTAACCTGTCACTCAAAATTCTTACAAAAGCAGCTTCCCTCTCCTCCTGCTACATGGTGGTCAAAAGTATGCGATGTGACGGCAGTGCAGCCCATGAATACATACTCGGTGTATTACCATTCAAATATCTTTTGCAGGAAAACGTAATTTCAGTGCACCTTTCAATGATGGCAGGTTTTGTTTGTAATAGAAATAGATAAGAAGTTGTAAATTTTAGTCTTTACAATTTGCACAAAAGCACAACTCAAAAATGGCTCTTCAAAATTTTTTAATTTGCGTGTTCAACAATTTTTGGATATACCAATCATACATACTCGAAACCATATGAACAAATGCTGATCTTAAATAGCTGCAAGAGTTTTGTGCTATTGACAATAGCACAAAACTCTTGAAGCGGATTTTTTTTGCTACAGTTTTTTAATTAGTGAATTAAGCTGCTTGACATTCTAATGGCACCGCTAGCATACGCGTGCTGGATAGCACAGCGGTGATCTTCAGCTCACTTTCATAACAATACATAAGAAAAAGGTACAAACACATGCTTTAAAGCTCATACTTGTTTTTGTTGCTTCAGAATTCACCTTTTGTTTCGGCCCCTCACATCACGAAGCTTGTAGAGCAATGCCTAAGATTCAATCACTAGAGAAATTTAAGTAAACTAGATTTCGGATACTTATATGGCAGTAGGTATGGCGACTTTCAGGCATATACGGTATGTGCAGTGCAGAGTACTGAATGTACTCTGCAGGGTGCTGAGTACAACAATTGACACCGTAAGTGTGACGTCATGGGTCCAAACAAACCGTTGATAGGGTCGTCGTTATGGACAAATACATGTGGCTAAGTTTTGCTACGAAAACCCGACCGTTCAAATATCAGGAGTAGGATTTAAACTTTTAAAAATCACAGATATAGAAAGCTTGAATGTCATATATGTTTCGACAGAAGTGTGTCGATAATCGCTTATTTCTGAAATATTTATGACGGTAATTTCCGTTCCTCAAGATGCCTGCAGCAGACGACGAATGCGAGTAGTATGCCGTCTGCCACATGCCCGCCGGCCAAGCCGGCATCTGAATAAAGACTATATTCTGATATTGCATTTGTTTGAAATATGATTAGTTTCAGACACTTATAAGAATTCATAGTGAGGTGCGATGCAAAATATGGTTTATCGAAAGTCCGGGCGTCGATCAAGTTCATCATCTGCTAAAAGAGTGCATTGCACCCCTGAGAAAAGCACTTCATGCGATTGGTTGAGATCCCTAATTTTGTTTGTGGACCCGCGCTATGGGAGGTTGCTTCGTACCTGGTGGTAACCATCGCATGGAGAAAGATTCTTGCAGTTTCTTCATATTTCAAGACCCCAAAACGCAAAAGAACTGGATAAAGAACATAAGGTGAGTTTATTACAGTTGCACTCGCATCGCGTGTTCGATGGAGGTTTCACCAAAAGAGCACATCCACTAAATTTGATGTATACCAAGGAAGAAAAAAAGCAAAATACTACGAAATCGCGATAGACATGCAATTCTTACATAAACCTGTGACCACACTCGGGCGTTTTCTACCTCGGCCAAAAAGTCATCCACCCAAGGAAAGGGCCCAAGGTGTAATTTACCAAATATCCTGCACCCAGTGCCCCGCCTCCTACATTGGAGAAACTAAAAACTTCCAAGAACGGCTCCGTCAACACAAAAATGACGTACGCAACTTCGACCGCGAACGCAGTGCTCTGGCGGAGCACTGTGAAGTTAATGACCACCGTATCGGATTTGAAGATGCAAGCATTCTGGGTACTGAGACGAACCTACGCAGAAGACAGCTGATAGAATCCTGGCATATTCAAAACACCGCAAATAACATCAATAGGTCTCTAGGCACCTTACCCAGTTTATATGTTCATGGGTTACGAGATACAATCAAGACGGCACAGGCGAAACGAAGACAACCAGCAATCGACAATGAAGAAGAAGAGATAGCCAGTTCAAAGAAAGACAAAGAAGCTATTATCCCGTTTAGTCGCCCCTGAGGAAGAAACAAACTATTTCGAAACGTTGGGACAATTTTTCGACTTTTTGGTTCGCGTATTTCTTTATTCTTTACATTTAAATTCACCCAACCAGGCAGATATCTGCCGAACATGTTTACCTTCAATTCTTTAATAACCTGACAACCTCAATAATAATGATAACCAACGACTTACCTCGACGGCATACCATTTGTTTCTCATGCTGGCCTGCACTATGCTGGTAATGCACTTCAGGTCATCGCTGTAACTGATCTGCGTGACATGGTTTGATTTTACGGCATTTTCACCCCTCTGAACTAAGCTGGGTTCGAACAAAAAGCACATTGCGGAGGCCTCTACAGCCATGGTGATGCACTTGTTTTTGTCGCTCGTTTACCCACGCAATTTAGTGAAGACGCCCGCCGCAACAGAGGCCAGCAAATCTATCGTGCCGCCTGCTACCAAAGCAAAGCGGAGTGTAATACATGAGAAATGGCTTTCATCAATGCAATACGACACTGAGATGACAAGAACATTTTTATAACTAGATATCAAGAAGTTACGTTGCTTACAAAAAATTATTTACTTACTTGTAAAAAATGTAGCCTCATGTGGTGTCTCCATGCATTAGCCCATAGCAACGCCTCTAGCAACGGTTTGTTTGGACCCAGACGCCATGTTGTGATGTAATCACTTGCAAGGTCAATTGTTTACATGGCATTTTTCTTCAATGTAGTCATATTTGATAGACAAGTTAGAAGGTGTACAAAGCAAACCTACCTGTTTCATTTTTACATAACTATGCTCGTGCAAGAATTTCAACACTAAAATTGGGTTAGCCTTCCCCACACCGCTGTAATATGTGTAGACTGTCCACTCTTTATATAGGGTGACCCAAGTCACCAGGCTCAATCTAAAATGGACCTGTAAAAATTGACGCCTGCACGTAGCAATCTAAACTTTTCATCAAGTGTACTTCACAGGTCGTTTTTTTTCTAGTAAAATTACAATGCGTAGCTCTTTTTCTGTAAAAAAATAGGGCTAAGAAACTTGCCAGGGTCTACAGCAGGTGGTGACGCAGACAACCAAGTTGAGTAGCGGGGTGTGCTTGGCATTCATATCGATAAATGGCGTCAGAAGCAGCATCCGAAGGCGTGGCCGTCTAGTGAAAGAAAGCAGACGACATGCTGACGTAATCCGTTGGCAGCAAAAGCCCCGTCGCTATGCAGACACCTTTTTTTTAACTTTATGTTTTGCTTTTATTGTCCACATATATTTTTTAACCAAAGATTTACATTTCAAAAAGATTTTCATAAACCACAGTGGTCGCAAGCCATCGTGATAAGGAGGTGGCGCCATCTATAATATGAACGCCAAACCCACCCCGCTACTCGTCTTGGTCATCTGCGATGCCGTTTGCCGTAGACCCTGGCAAGTTCCTTGGCCCTATTTTTTTTACAGAAAGAGAGCCACGCTTTGTAATTTTACAAGAAAAAACCGACCTGTGAAATACATCTTTCATGAAAAGTTTAGATTGCTATATGCAGGCGTCAATTTTTATGGCCCATTTTAGATTGAGCCTGGTGACTTGGGTCACCGTATATATGGGTGCTTCTTATATTTCGTCAAGCAGAGACAATTTGCGCAAGCTCTTCCCTACCACTTCCAGAACTAACATCTCTAAATTATCTCCTCTACATTTATTAGTGTTCAAAGGGATTTCCTTCCCTGACATTATTTTTATAACTATGAGGAGAAGGTGCACGCACTTCTGAACACCAAAGCGTACATGATGCTACCGAAAGACCCGACACCAAAAATTCAAGGAACCTTAAACAAAGCGCTTTACGCCGTCTTCAACAAATATCCGGAGTTTCGGGCTCTCTACCTTAGTTTTATCTGCCGAAACGGATCGACTCCTGCGTTCTACGGCTTACCAAAAATACATAAGTGTGGCATTCCGCTTCGTCCCATAGTTGACTTTACAACGTTGCCATTACGAGCACTGCCAAACTATCTCCATTGTCTGTTTCTTCCACTCATGGGGAAGACCAACACACATGTCGAGAACACTGTCCACTTCATCGAACTCGCTTCGGACCTGCAATTGAACGACGACGAGTGCCTTGTTTCATTTGATGTGGTATCTCTCTTCACGAGTATTCCCATTCGACTCGCGGTGTCTGTTGTCAGAACGGCACTCAAGGCCGACACGACTCTACCTGAAAGAACACGCCTCTCGGTGAATGAGATATGTCGGCTACTAGAGCTGTGCCTGACAAATACCTACTTTTCTTTCGCTGGTCGCTACTACAAGCAAAGTAGTGGCACAGCCATGGGTGCCGCGGTGTCCGTCACTGTAGCCAACCTCACAATGGAAGCCATCGAGCAAAAAGCCTTAAGCACATTTTCTCCCACACCGACTCTGTTTCTACGTTACGTGGATGATTGCTTCTGTGTTGCCAAGTCCAGCGAAGTCGATCGCCTTCACAAACATTTCAATTCCATCTATCCAGACATTCAATTCACAGTTGAACATGAGTCTAACGCGTGCCTTCCATTTCTGGATGTGGCAGTGGAAAAAACAGGGAACCATTTATCCTTCCAAGTACACAGGAAAGCAACGCACACCGGTCGCTACCTAAACTTCTCGTCAGACCACCCTACAACTCATAAATCCTCTGTAGTGTCGGCGCTCTTTCTGCGCGCCCTAACGGTCTGCTCAACAAAGAAGTCACTTAAGATGGAAGTCGATATTATAAAGCGAGACCTTCGGAAAAACAACTACCCCACGAGATTTGTCAACAAAATATACAAACAACTTCGTCACCCTCCTACATGCAAGAACAAAAACACCTCCAGTCGCATGTGCGTCCCGTACCTCCATGGCACGAGCGAGGTCCTAGCCCACGTTTTGAGACCGTACGGCATTGCAGTTACGCATAAACCTGTCTCAACTCTGGGCCATTTCCTTCCTCTTCCAAAGGATCGTCCACCAAAAGAAAAAGCTCAAGGCCTGATTTACCAAATTGCTTGTGCCGAATGCGACGCCTCTTATGTGGGGGAAACGAAGAACTTTCCGGAACGTCTGCGTAGACATAAGTATGACGTAAAGAAGAATGACATCCAAGGCAGCACGCCGGCGGAACATGCTCAAAAGACCGGGCACGCCATTGGCTTTGACAGCAGCTCCATCCTCGACACAGAAAGAAACTGGAGAAAGCGGCTCTTAATAGAATCTTGGCACATACACAATACAAGCAACAACCTGAACCGATCCACCGGAACGCTTCCTAGCAGCTATATACACGGACTAAAATGCGCCACGCACAGAAACAGAAGAAGAAAACAAAGCTAAGAGAGAAGAGAAGAAACCGAGGACAGGTTGCTACCTTTGGGCCCATATACAGTTACCCGTGAATAAGGAGCCGAGCTGGCTTCGAAACGTCGGGCACATTGAAGGAATTGGTTAGAGTCTACGTTGTACTTTTTCTTATTACTTACCTAACCAGGCGGAGTTCCGCCGAAATGTTTACATTTATAACCAAAGACTGATATAAATTTTGAACCACACTTGCAGCTTTCCTTGATATGTAAAACCTCACTAGCAGCATAGATACCCTATGGATGTCCAAAGGTCACTCATCAGATGTTATGACATCCTGAGGATATCGGGAGGACCATGTGTGCTCTTAGGGCTGATGCTTATTTTTACTGTGTGCGCTTCTAACATTATTTTGTTTGCATTTTTTATTGTCCTTTATATATAAATGAAATAAAGGTCTTTTCACAGGACTAGGGCACTCCTATACTTGATTTTGTGTTGCTGCATTGGTTTCAGGAGTGCAAAAGCATATCATGCACAGTCTTTGGTATGTTTTTAGCAAAGCAACATCAGGACAGTTCCAATCCAATCGTCAAAAATTTTCAGGGCAGTGTGGAAGTCACGTTGAAAAGAGTGTATTAGTAGTATTTTGGAGCTGTGTTTTTGCTAGTGATGCAAACTATCGATAAATTGACTATCGATACTATCAATAGTTTTTCCAAAACTATTGATAGTGTCGCAGAACTATCAATAGTTTTTTGATAGTTGACTATCGATAGCTTTTTTACTATCGATAGTCAGGTTTCTGGCGACTATCGATATTATCGATAGTTTTGCACCACTAGCAGTGGGTCCCTCTTCGCCTGCTTGTCCTCGAGGCTCAGCCAGATTCAGCGGGCTACCGGATAGTTTAGGTTTGCTACAGTGGGGGACTTTTGTTTTTCTTTTTCTGTTTGTTCTGCAGTAGAAAGGGCGACGACTCTTGCAGAAGGTGCCAGCTCATGCTGCCAACGCTGGCGCCGTTTCCTCCGCAGTCTGTGTGCGCGACGCAAAGTTTCTCTCGCGTTTGTAGTAGTCGTGTGCGGAGCGAACACAGTTGCCGCACCGCCGCTTGCCTCCCTTCCTCCTCTCTTCGCCCAAACTCCTGTCTTCGTCATCACTGAAGGCTGAACCAAAGTTGGGATGGTAAGTGCTTGGGCTAGTTGGTGCCCCCTTTAAAAAATTAAGTGAGAAAAAGAGAAGAGGTAGCGACGTAAACTACTAGTGTCACAAAACTATCAATAGTAAGCTGTTCACTGTACTATTGATAGGTTTACGATAGTCAACTATCAATAGTTTTCTGATAGTCGATTAACAATAATTTTCCGATAGAGTATCGATAGTACTATCCATAGCTTTTTAATAGTCGACTATCAATAGTTTTTCGATATTCAACTATCGATATTGCTGTTGGCAGATTTTTTTTACTATTGATAGTCAGATTTCTGGCAACTAGTTTCGCACCACTAGTTCTTGATCCACAATATACCGTAAAATCCCAAGAGGTGCCCCACCCCGAAAGATAGCCCACCCCTATTTTTGGCTTGGTTTGCTATATCTTTTTAAACACTGAAAGATAGCCCATTCCTATTAATCGTAGTGCTGGGATCAGTGATGGCCTCGGCGTAAATGCAGTAGTTAGCTATGGTAGGATATACATAAACATTGCTGACTGGGAAGTACAGATACCTTTGCTTCATTGCCGGAAGGGACACGACCCTACAATAGCAATTTGTTTTAAAACTTTTTTTGATTGTACATTGGAAGTTGGCCCACCCCATATTTTCACCCGATTTGCTCTTGATGTTAGATGGGCTATCTCTCAGGATTTTACGGTAGGCTTATCCTAAATTTGGGGCATCAGAAGAACATTCTAACCAATAAAAGAAAGGTTTTCTATTTAACAGTTATGTGCTAATGCTCAAAGTAAGTTGGTAGGCTCTTTGTATTTGATGAGAGTTTATGATTACAGATGAGTGGCCTTATCATTTGCCTGGAGTGGCCTTGTTATCCTCCCATATTCGGGAAAAGTGCCACTCAAAAGTGATCGAGTACCGCCTTGCAACCTTTCTCCCTTCCTCACGCCCAACTTGAAACAAACATAGTTAATAATGGGCAGTATCTTGTCTCATTGTATTCGAGCTTGGCTTTACCGGCTCCTTGCTTTGAGGGTGGTCATTTCTGTGCTAGTTTTGCGCATGTACCCTTTTTTTATTCAGGACCTCTGTGAGGCCGGTCCACATGCTTCAAATTTTGTCATAGCTAAGTGCACCATTTTGTGTACTGCAATTAACTTGATAAGCAATAGCATAGTTTTGCTTTGTCCTATGCATAAGTCAATGTCCTTTCCACTTTCCAGGAGCTTGTGACCACCTTGAAAGGCCTGACGAGCCATGTGCTCGTTTTCAAGTTGGTGCCTCGGGGTGGGCCTTTAGGGCATGCCAGGGAGAGCGAGAGGCTGTCTCTGAACAGCCTCTTAGTACGGAAGTTGGTGGTCCTCGGTGTTACCATCGTGAATGTCGACGTAAGTACATGGAACTTGCACCCCTGGTGCACTGTCCTTTTGAGTTACATGTGACATGCCCCTTGTGACGAGATGTCATCTTCTATGTTATTGGTAGCCAGGTATTCATGATACCTCTGGAATGCTGTTTATTGAGTGAAGGGTTGGCCAGATATAACCTAAAAAGCATTTGAAATGACAAATACGAGAATACACAGCAGTGACGGCTAAAGGAGTGATACTAAAATACAAAATACATGAAATACACTTATAAAAGGAGCATTGCAAAACACCTCAAATACGTATGACTAAGAAATAGGTGACAAAGTATCTTGAAATATGTTTTACTTGAAGGAGAAATCCTGATACCGAAATATCGGGGGCAGTCAGTTCATCGAACGACGTTTCATTGACAGTTTGTTTCATCGACAGTTTGTTACATCGACAGTTCAGATAAGCTTTTTTTTTTTCTGTAATGCCTCCTCGCAGAATGTTGCCGCGAAACAGCTTGAGTGGGTGGGCCAGGTGTGTTAATATTTGTGTAGCGAGCCGCCACTGACTGCTGCTGCGAAACGATGTGGACGGGTGGGCCGGGTAAGTTAACGCGTGCCCCAGTGACACTCACAACGAAATGTCACTACACCGTACAGTTAGCGTAACGATTGTCGATGGCATGTCAGTGTCAATGAAATGTGTATCAATAACATGTCGTTTGATTAAAAGTTGTCGATGACATGTTTGTCAATGAAACAAAACAGATCTCGAAATGTATGTTGCCACAGTAGCGGGGGTTTGCTGTAAAACAAAGCAAAAAGTTATAGTCTGGGTGTCGCAAGATCCATATTTTGTCACAGGTGTATTGCAGTGTTCGATGTTACCGTGTGAAAGTTAAAGGCACAGATTTGTTTTTGCGAAAAATCGGAAAAATGTATGCAAGATTTTCAGTTATGGGGGCTGATGTTGAGGGCCGAGGGTTGTGTTTGGTTCTCATGTTGAGAGGTGGCACAGCACGTCACGGAAAGTAGACCGCACTGTGGAGCAACAGATCTACGGCAGGGTGTCTCGACTCCAATTGCGTTTTTTTGTTGTGGCTTTTATGTTTGCGTGCATTGCTATAATTGTCACGAATGACAAATGATGAGGCGGTGAATAACTGAAGAAAGTAAACGTCTAATGGGGTGAACTTATGCCCAAAACAAAATAGAGAAACGCTAGCGTCGCACGGGTTGGTGTCGGCGAAACAGCAGGATCAAGCGCTGGGAAGAGACTGACTCTGCTTGCCATGCGGAGTCCCTTTTGCAGCTGCGTAAATCTCTGGAACATTTTATTTACAAATTTCGGCGCGTACAACATTCGTAACTTCATCAGACAAGAAAGTTCTCGAATTTGCGAGAACGCCAAGTAGAAAGAGTAAATAAAAGAACATTTTGCTACTTGGAATCACACCCAAATCGTCTGCACGACAATCAAGCACGGTAACTATTCGACCACGTACGCGCCCACTCAGCGATGTGCGTGGCAATATTAGAAGAAAGCTGTGTTACAGCAAGATTATCTTCACCCTCATCGGACTCGCCATCACGGGTTTTTTTTCTAATTGCAGCACGTTGCTCCATCTCCCAACGGAAGCATCAAACATTGCTTTTGGCAATCTGCATCCTGATGCAGGTTGCTAATGCTTTGCAAAAACAAAGCTGCACCTTTCAATTCTGCAAGGTAACACCCATCACTAATGTAGCTTGACAGAACCTTTAAGCTTGCTTTGTGCAGGTGCCACTCTTTCCAGAGAATCCTACAGCTAGCTCTGCAATTGATATCACGTTATACATACTTTGAGGTATTCTAAATGTCATCTTCTGTGTTATTGACAACCAGGTATTCATGATACCAAGAAAGATCACTCCAGCCATGTATATTACTTTTTACGTACAGTGTGCAAGCAATACAAACCAAAATAACAATTGCTATGCTCACGTACATTTCTGGATAAGCTTTTCACATGGTGTCCAATCAGTTAGCACCTGTCAATTTGGGCAGAGCATTATGTCAGCGACTGAAAATACACTCTCGATGGGTGTCGATAAAAATGGTGCTTTGTGGTTTGTTTGTCTTTTAATGTATGTCCAGGCTTTATGCATTGTTTGTTTTACTATGGTTAACTAGCTTAAATAATTGTCAACGCCAACCTCATCTCCAGATCAGTTTTTGGTCCTCCTAAATTATCTTGAGGTGTCTCCATGCTCTGCTTTGGTTAGGTTGCCTTTTCAGCATTTCATTGTATTTGAAAGCATAAACTCTGCTCCCCTCTACCAATATGGCATGAAGGTGCAGAGCACACCTGTAGAGCTTGTGCTTGCAGTGCCTTAGATGTTCAGAATCTAGGTGGAGTCTCAAGGAAAACATTTGTTAATCTTATAAAACAGAAAATAGCATGACCTGTTGATTAACCTTAAAATGCTTTACATTTTTGAAGCAGACCTTATACGAAACAGTTTCTTTTATTTATTCTATCATAAAGAGAATTGACGCTGTTGTCTTATTCACTGACCTTGTTGCAAACCATGCAAAAGGCACAAAGCAGTATGTGATGAGGTACACTCATCATGAACCACAAAATGGCGGATAACTCATGACAAGCTGAACTTATTATAAGCCGTTAAGAGGTTACGTAAACAATTAATTATACCCTAAGGGTCCTCATGGACAGAGACAAAATGTTCTGATCAGATCCTGGCCCGCAAGCTAACAAAGCCTCAGTGGCCCCTTCGCAACAGTCTCCACTCATTTAAAGCAAAAAGAAATAGCTTTATATTTTTTTGGCAGTTCATTGATTCATTGAAAACATTAAGGAGCTACATTGGGTTTTGGTTGTATTTTTATACCACGAACACACCCAAAATGAATTTTACTGAATAAATATAAATAGCCTATAACTAGGCCATATATCCTCCGGTGTTTCTTTATGAGAAAAATGGGCGGATGTTTTTCACAGTTTATTTATTTTTCAAACATTGGTGTCTTTCGACTGGGATTGGGCCCAAACACTCAATGTACTTGGAAATACAAATGCTGCGATACATAAAAATAGCTGAAATAGTGATAGATAAATATATCTGTAAAAATGTATTGTGATATGCATCGGAAATACATTTTAACGAGGAGCAAAATGTATTGGGAGATACAAATGCAGGAATACCTCTTAGGGACTTAGGGATGGCAGAAATACAGATACTGAAATACTGACACTGAAATATAATTTTACAATATGCAATTTTAAAATACAAAGGTGCAAGCGAGCTGGACAAGAATGACGAAAATAATCCCTGGAGAAGGAAAATAAACCCTTCTCCAGGGATTATTTTCGTCATTCTTGTCAAACTCGCTTGCACCCTTGCATTTTATTGTGTTATAATCTTAACCTTAAATTGCAAGCTTCACCCTTGTTGATGTTAGACTGGCGGCAGCTTATAAAACCCATTTGCTCTAATGACGTATAACCCTTAATTACCTCAGTTGGTAGGTAGAGCGCTCCACCTGTAATGGAAAGGCCCCAGGTTTGATACCTGGACCAGGCGGATTTTTTCGGTTGCGCACCAGTCACCTAGCTGTGTTTGGAGATTTCTGTTTGTCTTTTGTCCCTCTTGTTCCCCTTCTCCAGGGATTATTTTCATCATTGCTTTCACAGCTGGGAATCACATTTCTTCATTAAGAAATGTGCGACTCACAGCACATTCCTTATCTTCACAGAATAGAGAAGAGGTCGCATAGACAAACAGTTCTGGGAATTGGATTGTACCTTTGTCAGCATAGTAACAATGCCCCAACGTCACCTTTGTGGGGGGAGGGGAGACGGGGGGTGTGGAGGGTATAAGAGAAGCATGGTGTAAAACATTCTTCAGTTTTGCAGAATAAAGAAGGGGGTTACTAAGATCCGAGACAAATTGCTCCAGACAAACCTACCGTAAAATACCGGGCAAGCGCCCACTGAAACTTGTGAGATAATCGCAAAAAAATGGGGGATGGGCGCTTGTCCGGTCATGAATTTTACATATAAATGTGCCGTATGTATTTTTTCAGATCTCACAGATTCGGTAATGGTCGCTTAATGTGGAATGGGCGGATGCGCGGTATTCTACGGTAGGTTCGCGTGATAGCAAAGGCACAGCATTCTTTTCATAACGCCTTCTGGCCTCCCTCTGGCCTTCTCTTGCAAAGCAAAAAAGTTGCCGTCTTTTTTATCCAGGGGGGGGGGTAGTTATTTGTCAAGAAATGTAACGAAATACATCCTGTCTTGATTGTAGTGCAGTACCAAGAAATATCCCAAATGCATTTGGATACAGAAATACAGATACTGGTGAAAAAAAATGTGTTGCGATACAGAAATGCAGACACAAAATGTATTTCTGAAATACTATTGCGATACATTTGTATTGCGATACTGCACAACCCTGCTTTCGACTTGTTGGCTCATGTGGACACTAAAAACAGCGATGATTGGTGAAAAAAAATTGTTATGGGACAAGTTGCTTCCTTATCTGCCGTCCTCCGACATGAATCGACAAGGGCATTGTGTCTGTTGGTAGTAACCGTCTGACTCACCTCTCAGGCCCCTGTCCTCCAAGGTCAGCGATTCCACTGGTTGGAGACCCCAGTTTGCTTAATTCTTGGTAGCAAAACAGGCTCAGCAAATGCCTAGATTTGGGGGTTTCAACCAAAATAGTAATCGCCTAGCACCAAATTGTCCCCAAAACCGGTGTTTTTTTTGGTTTTAACCGATTTAGCATTTTTGCCATCGGTGGATGTTTTCTCAGTATTTTTAAGTTAAAACTGGAAAGTACACAGCCTACCTATAACTAGGGTTCTGTGTTTTCTGAGTATTTTTTTTTCCTCGAATTTGGGGGTATTTCTGGGGGGGTTTATTTTTCCTGCAGATTCGGTGTTTGTTGTGTAAACTGGTTATGACTTCAACCAGTTTACACAAAAAACAGTGAATCTGTGGGAAAAATTAGACACCGAAAAAAAATACCCCCAAATTCAAGAAAAAAAAATTAAGAAAACGCTGAACCCTACCTATAACTAAAGATCAGCCCTTCTTTTTTTTTTTTTTTTTTTTTTTCGAATTTGGCATACATTTATTGGTTTTTATTTCTAAATTCAATATTTGGTCTTTCTAAGCTAATATATCATACACCAGAAATATTTTTTTTCTTTTTCGGTGAGATGTATTGCATTACACCTCTTCTTTTGTAAGCACTCAGCGATGGATATAGTTGTAGACAGGTCAAAAAAGCATGTGTTCAGATCAGTAAGTTCCTAAAAGTTTGAAACTCCCCAAAATAGGTAATTATGTCAGGAATATAACAAGATAGACTAAAAAAAAGGGTACACCATTTGTGAAAGAAACATGTACAGAAGGCACTTTTAAACTCTGACAGAGTTTGAAACTGCCTCTATGCATTGGGAAGTTCTAAACATTCTCGATAAGAAACAATCCAAATCACTTCTTAAAATCGCAGTGAACTCGGCACACGAGAACCGATCCCCAAGGAGAACAGAGATTTAACCCAAAAGCGAGCTCAAACACTGTACCTTGATGTTTACAGTTAGATGCTCCCCTGAGTAAACAAGGGGGGACCCCGATAATAAGCAACCAGCCCCATAAAAAATTTGCCATGAGTTAACAATCTCCACTCCCCACACGGACGCACATACTCTAACATACTGACCCCTACCTAACCCTATAATGTTCATTGACTGCTTCCAAGTTAGACATGTGTGTCCTGTGTGGTTCCAAGGAGTGGTCACAACCCAGCTTTGTTTTATGCTTTTAATTAATTCATTCGCTGATGTTTCAGCACCTGTTCCTCAGCCGAGGCAACGTGGTGAACCTTGAGAAGCTGGCCGTCGACCGATACCATGTGTGCCGCGTCCGTGGTATTCAATGTATAGCATTTGCACTCAGCAAGGCGCTCGCAAAACTTTTTGGACGTTCAATCCTTGGTGGGTGCCGTGCCGCATTCCGACGCTTCCGGGTTCACAGGTGTGGGAGATGTGGAGCCTGCGGCCACTGGAGTGGTGCATGTCTCCACTTTGCCGCACTCCAGCACTAGCTAAGTTATCTCCGAATTCACAGACCTCCTTCCAATTTAGGCACCCCTCCATGTCCTCAAGGAAGGCGCAAGGGTCGGTGCTGGCCAGTCGCGACGACGGATAGGCGGCCTTGGCTGCTTAGCCGTCCTTGCAATTGGCCAGCGCCGTCCCTCGCGCCTTCCTTGAGGAAGTGGAGGGGTGCCTAAATTGGAATGAGGTTTGTGAATTCGGCGGTTAGTGTCCCTTTTGTCCCCTATGTGCAGTCCCAGCCAATATGAGCTAGGATGAAGAAGTTTTCTATAAGAACCTTTCTAATCCATTATTTCAAAGTTTGCTTATTTCTCAAGAGCATCTCAGTGGCCACATTTTGATGTGTCATAATGCACTACTGTAAAATCCCGAGAGATGCCCTACCCCCAAAAGGTAGCCCACCCCTGTTTTTGGCTTGATTTTGTTTTTTTAAACACCGAAAGATAACCCATTTTTAGTAATAGTAGTGTTGGGATCAGTGATAGCCTCGGCACAAATGCGGCTAGTTAGCTATGGCGGGATATAAGTGAATGTTGCTGACTGGGAAGTACATACATAAACCTCGGGATTTTATGGTATATTTCAAATAGCTTTAAAAATAAAGGAATTGCAGAGATGCTTCAAAAATCATCACTTTTCTCGTGGTAAGGAATGAATTCAGGGCCATAGAAGGGCTGCAACAAAGTGTGTAGTAGGGCTAGTTGGTTGGTCCATTTGAAATGGTATCTATCTGCTTTTTATGTTTACTTACTGTACCATGCACAAGTAAAATTTTCAGTTGCAAATCAGCGCTGTGTCTGTGTTCTCCTTCAACTGGACCTTCGTCTTTTTTGCACTGTCTTAATACCATTTCGGCCATAGGGGGGCTCGCACACCATTGGTTGGGTAGCTTGCGAACCATGTCGCTGATTGTCATTGTTGATGTGCACTTTTTCTCATAAGAAGAAACAAAGTCAATGAAAGCATCAAGCAAAAAGTTCAGTGCCTAATTATGAATGCTACAAAAGAAATATTTGGAAGCCTTTTTCAGCTTAGGCTATTCTAGATGGTTCAGTTTTATTTTCTTAAAAATTGCTTTGAGAAGCTGTTTACAGACGGCTGCACATTATACACCCGGGGTTCCCAAACCGGGTTCCGTAGGCTGGTCTTCTGGATTCCGCAAGCACCCAAATATATATTTCATTTTTTTATGGGAAAATGAAGAAGTGTATGTTTGTACTGAAATGCTATATATACCGTGAAATAAGCGCCCACCCCTGACTGTTGTAACATCTAAAACAAATGTGGGCAGTAGAAATATAGATAACTGATAGCATATCAATTGCCTATCTCCCATATTTTTGCAATGATCTCCAGATTTGTAGAGGGTGCTTGAGCTGTACTTTACGACATATTTTAGGGTTGTACAAATATTCTAAAATTCAGAATATTGAAGCGATTGATGCCATATTCTACTCGCAGTTTGAATTGGTGAGGAGTATTCGGCAACTTTGAATATTTTCAAAGTATTTCTTCTCCGCTATACTCCGCCGCAACGCACCGGTGTATAGCGGTGAAGCGTGTGTACCGAAGCAAAGCACTGAGACGTTTGTGACCACGATGATGCGAAGCATTGAAGCATGACACGCCTGGTGCAGCGTGAACGCTGCGGTATCAAGGATTGTGGAAGGGGTGCAAGGGAAAGGTGGGTTGTTAGGGTTCCTTGTCACCAGAAAGTTTGAGAACACTTCTCTGTAAAGGTTGTGTCGAGGTACCAGATAATGCATTAAAATCAATTGGAACAATTGGCGTCTGCATGTAACAGGCCAGCATTTCACCATGTCCCTTTTGTCGCCCCAGGGGCATTGCCAGATTAACCATATTCAAACTGCTTAAAATGAATAGGGCCCTCTGTGAGGGGATCCCCCCTGATAGGGGGCGTGTTCGAACCCTTACTCGACTGGATCCCAGCTACTCCTGCGCGGTCTTATCACGTGACGATTCAAGCTGAGCAATGCTGGACGCAGAAAGGTTTTCGAACACAAAGGTATGAAACTGTTGCTCTGGAGTGAGATTGGGTACATTTTGGAACACGGCCAGGTCTATGACAACCGCTGGCCATTGCTGAATCAAAAGCAGCTGGCGTTGGCACGAGAGCGCTCGACACAGAACACGCAGAGCGGTCTGTGTTAACCGTTGCGTACATCGTATATAAATTTTTTTTCTGTGTCTACTCTTCGCCGGGATATTCTGCAGGCTTGATTTGAAACAGAATGATACGGTATTCATGCCCATGTGACTCCAAGACACGTGGTGGTCAGCTCGAGCGGATGCTATGAAGCTCTGTTCGTTTAGGAAATTAGGGTCGCCCTGAGGGTCTGAAGGTTAGGAAGAACTAGCAAAGACATGGGTTATGGTTGAAGACTATGGGTATGACTGCAACAGTCGTAGCTTAGTTCATGGACAGAGTGTTGCGATGCTTCAATGCCATCAGAAGAACGCTACATAATCAGTCGCTCACATTGAATGAAGCTGCAAACCTGATGAAATCATTGAGCGATTTTGTATCTGGTGTAAGAGAAAGATTCAAAGAAATGAAACAGGCAGCGAAGGAAACATCGGGAACAACGTACAAAGCAACAATCAAAAGAAAGCAACCGATCAGCACAAATGGCAACCTTCAGCCTCAAGATGCCTCATTGAACTTCTACTGTGATACCAATCTTGGCATGATTGACAACCTCCTGCATTCACTTAAAACTCGTTTCAGTGCTTACAGCAAAGTCTGCTCACAGTTCACTGTTATTGCCGACCGGGGCACACTTTTGCAGAAAGTGGTGATTCCAGGCAATAAATAAATCTGGTCTGTCGGACAATTTCCCCAATGAACTAGAATAGTTCCTTTTATTTGCCAAAAACGAAGGCTTCCATAAGAAACATTCCAAAACTCCAGTCTGAGAAAAGCTTCAAGGCTCATTTCTACGTGTTCATGTACCCATTCTAGATTTTTATTTTTTTATGGTTACAAACTGTAGGGGTGAACAATCTCTCAGTAGGCCCAAATTGACATAACAAAGACTTCAATCAATGATGGCCAATGACCGCCTCAGTGAATTGTCCTTGCGGAGTGTGCAGACGGATAGTCTGCACACTCCGCAAGGACATATATTTATAACTTATTGAAGCGAATAATGCCATATTCGATTCATACTTCGAATCGAATAGGATTATTCGGTAATTCTGAATATTTTCGAAGTTTGCAAATAGGTCTGCGAAATCGAGAAAATTAAGATGCTTTGCCATAGTGCTGTCATGTAAAGTTTGAAGCTTCATGCAAGCATGTTGGGCGAAGCTTTGTGGGAGCGTGCCAGTGCAAAGCGAAGCTTGGCGTTCTTGACCGAGCTCGAGCTCTACACCGTCGAGGCATACTTGGTTGATATGATCATCTTATGTTATATTGCCTAAAGGAAACTGACTTTGCAGTATCGCAGAAGCCGCCATCCTGCCATTTTACGAAGTATCTCCTCAAGACCTTTTAGGTTGTTATTCTCAACTGGTGTCAGCTGCTTGTACAAGCTGATAAAGCATTTGGAGAAGATAACTATTCTGGTAGTTGGGACGATGACATGGCATGCCCAGTTGAAAGTGTAACGGGATACATTCTTCCTTTGAATGTATTGTGAGATCAGGGATATATTTTTATGTTTATTTCGATGCTGAAATACAAGTACTGACCCAAAATCTGGTGTCCTCTATATTGTTACAAAGGGAATGAAAGACATATATCATAGGTAATCTGGGCTGGTGTTGCTGTACTGGTTCCTTGACCACCGCTATGGTTCTCTCCAAGAGTAGCCTGAGGCAGTTGTGTTCAGTCCCCAGATGTCAAGTAGAGTCACTTCCCGCACTTTGATGGTCTCACACAGTCCATTCATGAGCGTGCATTGTTGTTACCATATGTGACAACACCGTCAATTTTCTGGCGATGATATTAACTCGCTAGCATTCATCTTGCCATTGCAGTTTCTGCAAGTGTAACTAGCCCCCCATATTGAGCTGAAGTAGGATGGTAGATTGGGCTAATTGGTAAGAGCGAAACTAATAATGATGGAAAACACCCTCTGTTACAAAACAAAGCGAAAAAAAAAAATTTCTTTATTCATACATTGGAGTTTAGTACTGCCACATTGTAAGGCTCTATCCCTGTGATTGCCAGCTGCCTGGTTGGCATGCGTGTTTGTGTTTATGTAAGAAGATTAAAATGCTTCCTTTTCATAAGATAAACTACACTTGCATGTCATCTGTTGTGTTGTGTTTGTGCCTTTACTTCATTCTTGTGTCTGAGGCTGCTTTCCATTATGTTTATTCCATAATAATCATTTTCAACTGACCCTGTGTGCTTTCCTGGCCACAGACAAGCCACCCCCACAACCAGTACCTTAACAGTGCATATGTACTGCAATTTCGCAAGGGGCGTTGAGACAGGACATTTTTACCTGTGCAAATGCCAGCAAGCACCTTTCCCTGCAAGACAGCGGTGTTTTTCGGTGAAGCAAACCTATGCTGTTCTGCGAGAGTATGAGCAGTATAAGAGAGTGCTTCATTGCGAGGTCATTAAGCTCTCAATTTAACTTAAAGAAAAATGTGAATATATACATTCAAGTGATAAAACTATTTACGCGGTGAAAATGATTTTAAATGTGCCAAACACATTTTTGTTTTGAAGCGGGGAACCAGCGCACGGTAACGAGAGTATGTTTACAAACTACCCGGCGCCATGTTGTAACGGTTCTGCGTAGATTTTATTCTTGCGTTCTACTTCTAAGTTTTGATGATACCTTTCCCCGTCGTGATCTTCGTCGTCGCACCTGCAACACTGAGAGATGGGTAAGAAGACCGGTGTCCCGCGAATGCGGTAAGCATGTGACATATACATCTGTGTAGGCGTTATAAACTAAAATCCACACCGTGGTATGGAAGGGCATTCCACGCGCACAGGCTTCGGAGCTCGATATAGCTTCTGCATCGTGTGC